AGACTATAGACTAGACTATAGACTAGACTATAGACTAGACTATAGACTAGACTATAGACTAGACTATAGACTAGACTATAGACTAGACTATAGACTAGACTATAGACTAGACTATAGACTAGACTATGGACTAGACTATAGACTAGACTATAGACTAGACTGTAGACTAGACTATAGACTAGACTATAGACTAGACTATAGACTAGACTATAGACTAGACTATAGACTAGACTATAGACTAGACTATAGACTAGACTATAGACTAGACTATAGACTAGACTATAGACTAGACTATAGACTAGACTATAGACTAGACTAGACTAGACTATAGACTAGACTATAGACTAGACTATAGACTAGACTATAGACTAGACTATAGACTAGACTATAGACTAGACTATAGACTAGACTATAGACTAGACTATAGACTAGACTATAGACTAGACTATAGACTAGACTATAGACTAGACTATAGACTAGACTAGACTAGACTAGACTATAGACTAGACTAGACTAGACTAGACTATAGACTAGACTAGACTATAGACTAGACTAGACTATAGACTAGACTATAGACTAGACTATAGACTAGACTATAGACTAGACTATAGACTAGACTATAGACTAGACTATAGACTAGACTATAGACTAGACTATAGACTAGACTATAGACTAGACTATAGACTAGACTATAGACTAGACTATAGACTAGACTATAGACTAGACTATAGACTAGCCTATAGGCTAGACTATAGACTAGACTATAGACTAGACTATAGACTAGACTATAGACTAGACTATAGACTAGACTATAGACTAGACTATAGACTAGACTATAGACCAGACTATAGACTAGACTATAGACTAGACTATAGACTAGCCTATAGGCTAGACTATAGACTAGACTATAGACTAGACTATAGACTAGACTATAGACTAGACTATAGACTAGACTATAGACTAGACTATAGACTAGACTATAGACTAGACTATAGACTAGACTGGACTAGACTATAGACTAGACTATAGACTAGACTATAGACTAGACTATAGACTAGACTATAGACTAGACTATAGACTAGACTATAGACTAGACTATAGACTAGACTATAGACTAGACTATAGACTAGACTATAGACTAGACTACAGACTAGACTATAGACTAGACTATAGACTAGACTATAGACTAGACTATAGACTAGACTATAGACTAGACTATAGACTAGACTATAGACTAGACTATAGACTAGACTATAGACTAGACTATAGACTAGACTATAGACTAGACTATAGACTAGACTATAGACTAGACTATAGACTAGACTATAGACTAGACTATAGACTAGACTATAGACTAACTATAGACTGACTATAGACTAGACTATAGACTAGACTATAGACTAGACTATAGACTAGACTATAGACTAGACTATAGACTAGACTATAGACTAACTAGACTATAAGACTGGAATAGAATAGGCTAAAGTCTAGATTGTAGGCTAGATCATAGACTAGACTATAGGCTAGACTATAGACTGGATTATAGACTTGACTATAGACTAGACTATGAACTAGTCTAAACGGAGTCTCTTCGACTCTACTTGACTGTTCGCTCGCAGTGAACTACCACATTAACCAACATGGTCTAGACTATAGAGTAAATGGACTATGGACTAGACTATACCTAGGCTATAGTATTTATTTATATTGCAAAAAATCTACTTCTTAATTCAACTATAGAATCCTACTTTAAACCAAAAAAAATCCCCCAATAACTTTTTCCCGTTAAACAAATCATTTAAACTGGCATCTCTAGCTCTTACAAATACAACCACCATTGCCACAATAAAACAACAAAAAGTACATGGTAAACATTTGTGTGAAAATACTTTCAACTTTTATGACAACGCTTTGCCTGACTATATTTAGTTCTGTCATCGTGAGTCGCCATCGTAGACGTCACGTTAGAGTGTCTCCCTTAAGAAAAAGAGGAAGATAAAAGTTTTTAATTATTAAATAATAAAAGAAATCGCAATTTGAAAGGAAAAAGGTAAATATATAATTTGTATTTATTAAAGAAATTAAATAACAAAGCAAAAATTACCAAAATCTCTGCTGAAGAGAGATATGAAAGAGTGTTTAATAAATGAGCAAAAATGTTTTCAGTGTGCCCAATGTAGAGGTTTTTAAAACCAAGTGACTTAATTTTGTGTGAAGAAGTTAAATATTAGGTAAATATTAATTGCAAAAACGATTATTAAGTTAACAATGATTGTTAAAACCTGTTTTTATATGGAAAAAATGTGTAGTAAACCATTGTTAACTTTAATAATCGTTTTTGCATAAGGCAGTAAATATATGGTTACAAATTAATAAAAAATAGTTAAGAATTTTAAATTAATGTTTAAATAAAGTATACTTCGAGTTCTTTTTGCAAAGTAATATTAAAAACTTATAATATTTGTACAAAATTTGTTAATATTTTTCCTGTTTATTTAGTTAGTAAACGTTTAATTTATAAATTTCTCTATAGAAAAACGTCTGTTATTATTCTTAATTTCATTAAATCTTTATGGACGAACTAATTACACCTGAACTAGACCCAGTAACATCACAAGCAGCTTACTACAAAATGGAAATTGATCCAATTGAAACTAAAAATGGTAAAATCTTAATTTTAAATCAATAAATATTTAATTTATATATTAAAACTTTATTGCAAAACCAAGAAAATTGGAACCCTTTGACTGAGGCAGTCGATATAGGGGAAACTTTACTAAACATCTTGGACGAAGTGCGTTCTTTAAGAGAAAGATATAAGAAAAGCGACGAAGAAAAGAAACAACTAATAAAAACACTTAAAAGTGAAATCAAACAGTTAAAACATGAATTGGGGGGACTAAATGGCAACATAGATCCTGAACCGAAGCTTTTGCCTAAGTTACCCATAAATACTCTAGAGGATTTGAAGGATTTTGATGACAAGCTGCCATTAGACGCTGATCTAAAAACTGAATTAGTAAGTTAAGGTTATGTCTATTATTATTAATCTTAATTTATTGAAACCAAAAACATTACAGATAAACTTTTTAAGAAGATTTTCTGGCCACAATTTTATAGTATTTTTGAGAGCAGGTTTAAGGGCTATAGTAACAGATGAATTGGCGGTAAATTTGACTTGGCGCGGAACCCAAGAAAAACCCAGCATACAATGTTTTACAATTTTTGTGCTTTTAAGAGGTTTAATATAAGAAAAATTAAATCAATTAAACATTTTTTCAAAACTATTATTTCTTTTTTTCTAACCAGAGATCTGTCTTTCAAAATATCCTGACGCAAATCATGCGGAAATCAATCGCATATGCCAACAACATTTTCTACATGCTAGAGATAGAGTTTGTCGAAAAAATAAGGGCATTGCTTCTCCAAAGACATCCACAACACCTACTTTTTCTGGCAGTAGCAGTAAAGTTAGACCCTTGACACCGGTTATTTTAGATCCAGTTTCCACTCCATCTTCACCAGAAGCTAATCTTTTAGAACCACATTCTGCACCACCTTCACCAGAAACTATACTTTTAGACCCACTTCCCTCGCCACCATCAAAAGCAGTTAGTTTACCTAGGCTGCCCTTTAAAACCCTGCAAAGTTTAGAACAATTCGATGACCAACTGCTGGACAATAAAAAATTAGAAAAGCTTTTGGTAAGGTTAAGCTTAAACATTTATAATGTGCAATATACATATATTCTTATAATTTAACCTTTTTTCAGAAACAATATATAAATAGAATCAGTGGCAGAGATCATGCCAAATTTATACGCGCCGCATATAAAGCAATATTAATAGATGAGGTGGCTACAAAACTGTCCTGGCGCGGAACAAAAGAAAAGCAAAGTATTCAAGAATTTAATATTTTTCTGATTATAAGAGGTTGTATATAGTATAGTTATAAGTGAGTAATATGTTTAAAGTTCTTATAACTATTTTTTTCAGATGTTTGTTATGCCAAGTTTCCTAAAATAAACAATTCGGATATTAACAAAGTTTGCCACCAACATTTTCTTCATGCCAATGATCGGCTTAAAAAGAAAGCAAATCTTTCAGCTTAATAATCAGTTTATTAATTGATATAATTTTTTTTAGTTTTAAGAAGTTTTTTTTTTAACAAATATGACTATTTCCTTAATTAAAAAAAAAAATAAATTTATCAGAAATCATGGAGAAGTTTTTATTTCGGTTGCTACATAATAGCTGGGGGCAGGCAGTATTTCAGAATTTTAGTGCTTCTTTCAGTACAACAATATATAATTTAGTCTAGAGTCTAGACTATAGTTTAGTCTGGAGTCTAGTCTATAGGCTAAACTATAGTCTAGTCTATAATTTAGTCTGGAGTCTAGTCTATAGTCTAGTGTGGAGTCTAGTTTATAGTCCAGTCTATATTCTAGTCCATAGTCTAGTCTGGAGTCTAATCTATAGTCTATTCTATAGTCTAGTCTGGAGTCTAATCTATAGTCTAGTCTGTAGTATAGTCTATAGGCTAGTCTGTAGTCTAGTCTATGGACTAGTCTATAGTCTAGTCTATGGTCTGGTCTATAGTCTAGTCTATAGTCTAGTTTATAGTCTAGTCTATGGTCTAGTCTATAGTCTAGTCTATAATCTAGTCTACAGTCTAGTCTATAGTCTAGTTTATAGTGAGTTTTTTAATACTTTTTCAAAATTTTAGTTTTCCATGCCTGGCTGGGTATAAAAAATTTTTTAAATTTTATGAATTTCCTTATTTTAAAGAAGTCTGAAAATTCTTTTTATAATTCATGTCTCATCGATCCCATTTTATCAAAATTAACAGCTTCAAAAATACTTTAAAATGTATTATTAAAAATTATTATTGGTGATTTTAGAACTTTTTTAAAATACAAAGTTTACAGCACTGTACAATAACATTACAAAGAGCGAAATTTGTGTATAAAACAAAACACAACAACAGTTAACGTTGATGCTGTTGTCTGGGGCTGTAAAACGTAAACGTTGTTTGTGTGTTATTCCGTATGGCAAAGAAAGAAAAACCCAAAAGAGAATTAAAATAAAAACAAAAACTGTTAAACGTTGTCATTATGAAAGGAAAAACAAAATTTTTTAAATTTTGTTGATAGATAATCAAGGTTTGAAATTTTATTAAATAATTTTTACAAAAATTCCACAATTTCCAAAAGAAATGTCCCCCCACAATCGCATTAAACAAATATTAAATCTGGCATCTCGACCTCTTACAAATCCAACAACTATTGCCGCAACAAAAACGTATGTATCCATGCATATGGTAAACATATGTACGAACACAATTTATAAACTAATAGTTCTATCATCGTTATTCATCGTAGACGACACGTTGTAGTCTCTTCTCAAATAAAAAGTGGACGATATAATTTTTATAAACAATTTCAAATAAATTACAATTTATCAAGTAAAAGGTAAGTTATTTATTATTTTTATTATAATTGATAATTCATTTTTAATTTATTAACGAAATTATAAAATACAAACAGAAATTATTAAAATCTCTACGAAAAAGAGACATAAAACAAATGAGCAAATGTTTACAGTGCTGCCAATGTAGACGTTTTTCGAAACTAACGAGAAAAGTAGATTTTTGTGTAGAGAATAATTATTTTGATATGGAATTTTTTTATTTAAACCATTTTTAAAAATCATACAAATTTATCCACTCTACAACTATAGAAAAACTTATGTATCGTAACATTATTTCTTAATTTTATTAAATCTTAATGGTTGAATTAATTACACCTGAACTAGTCGAGGTATCACTAATAACGGCTGATTCCAAAATGGATTTTAATTCCATAGAAACGAAAACTGGTAATATTTTAATTTAAATTCGATAAAAATATCAAGTTAATATATTAAAACTTTATTATTAAACCAAGAAAATTGGAACTCATTGTCCGAGGAAGTCGATATAGGTGAAACTTTATTAAACATTTTGGACGAAGTGCGTTCTTTGAAAAATGAATTTGAAAAAAGCGACGAGGAAAGCAGACAACTAATACAAAATCTAAAAAGCGAGATACAACAGCTAAAGTCTAAAGTAAGGACAGTAAGTACCAATATAGAGGCGGAACTGCAGCTTTTGCCTAGATTGCCCATGAATACTCTAGAGGATTTGAAGGAATTTGATGATAAGCTGCCATTAGACGATGATTTAAGAGCTGAATTAGTAAGTTGTAATAACAAGAGTTTTTTTTTAATTATTTTATAAAAAATATAAAACATTTCAGAAAATATTTCTACAAAGATGCGATGGCAGAGATTATGCTGTATTTCTAAGAGATGGCTTGAGGGCATTAGTTACAGATGAGTTGGCGGTAAATTTGACATGGCGTGGAACACCAGAAAAACCCAGCGTTCAAACTTTTACTTGTTTTGTGATTTTAAGAGGTTAGTTTTAACAAAAATCCAAATAAGGTAATTTAAGCTAAAATCTTTATTATTTTTTCCAGATATCTGTCTTTCGAAATTTCCCAATGTAAATCATTTCGATGTCAATCGCAAATGTCAACAACATTTTCTACACGCTAAAGATAGAGTTATTAAAAAGAAATCGTCGATGGGATCTATAAAACGTCTCACAACAATCACTTCTAGCAGCCAACAAAATTTGCCACATGCTGAAGATAAAATTACCAAAAATAAAGAGGCTGTTGAAGATTTAAAGTTTCCCACAACACCCACTTTTAGTAGCTATAGCCTTACCGTTAGACCTATGACACCTGATCTTTTAGAACCTCTTCCCTCACCACCTTCACCAGCAGCCAATTTACCTCGTCTACCCTTGAAAACCCTACAAAGTCTAGAAGAATTTGATGATCAACTGCTGGAAAATTCAAAATTAAAAAAGATCCTGGTAAGGTTAAGTTTTAACATTTGTAAAGTGTATGTATTTCTTTTTATCAATAAATTATTGCAGAAACAATATATAAATAAAGTGGGTGGCAATGATTATGCGAAATTTTTGCGTTGTGCATTTAAAGCAATGATGACTGATGAGGTGGCTTTGCAAGTGACCTGGCGTGGCACAAAAGAAAAACAAAGTATTCAAGAATTTACAATTTTTCATATCATTAGAGGTAGAATATTTTATTATAAATGTACATACCTATATTATATTTTTAATAACTAATATACCTCTTTTTTTCTAGATGCTTGTTATGCCAAGTACCCTGAGGCCTCCAAATCGGAGATTAATAAAGTCTGTCAAAAGCATTTTCTTTATGCCAAAGATAGATTGAAAAAGAAATCGAGGATTTCAATTTAGTGTTTAAAAGAATTTTTTTAATATTAAGAGGTTTTTATTTACTTAAATACATGTGATTTTCTTTTATGGAAAATAAATTGACTGGATAAAATTTTTTAATTTTTATTTCAGTTTAAAAAAGTAGATTCATAGTAATCTTTAAAATCGGATTATATTTTTTTTAAGTTAAATGGCCTGAAAAGTTTTTAAATTTATTTATAAAGTTTTTCGTGATTTCAGGACTTTTTGATTTGAAAAAGTTGACAACACTGTAGGAAAACATTTTACCAGCCAACAGGGATGGCAAATAGAATTTTCAAATTGTGCAAATCAGCATTAGAAATTGTACTTCCTTGATTCTGATTTCTTTGCAAATTTATTTCAATATGATACAAAAACATTTCAATCTGACTTCTTTATTCAGTAGACTTATTAATATATGTAGTAATCGAATCCATCAGTCAATAGACTAAGTCCATAAACTACACAATATATTAAGGTGTAAACTAATTTATATACTAGATAGTATAATACTCCATAGACTAGACAACATACTAATCCACAGATTAGAAAACTGACTAGTCCATAGATTAGACAACAGACTAATGTATAAAATAGATAACCGACTAGTCCATAGAATAGACTAGTCTATAGTACGTAGACTTCAAATGAAATGGACGAACGGGCATGGCTTAATCGATCAAAATAGTAATTCTGCGTCGATCGGTATACTTTATGTTAGGTATAGGACCAATATTTTTGTGCGTTACAAACATCAGCACAAACGCCTAATACCCTCCCCACTGTAGTGACGAAGTTCAATTGTACAAATTTTGCCAGTCCTGCCAACTAATGTTTAGTCGTTGTTAGTCGCCGTAGACGTCACGTTGTAGTCTCTTCCAAAGTAAAAAATTGGAATATATTATTTTTTTTAGATAAAATTTAAAATAAATTACGATCTACCAAGTAAAAGGTTAATAATAATTTAATTTTGTAATTGTAACTTTATTTTTGTTATTAAAATTTCAATAAAAAAGTGATATGAGGAAAGTGTGTAAATAAATATTCAGTATATATTTGCAGTGTTGCTAAGGTAGAGGTTTTTAAAAGCAGGGAGGATTGTTATATGATAGGTATATGTAGGATTTTCAAGGTTTATATCTTAAAAATTTTAAAACTTAAATTAATATTCGAAATATTTACTACAATTTTGAAAAAAAAAATTTTAAAACTTTTCATATTTTTAAAGGTTTTTTAAGTTTATTTATACCATTTAATCTTTATCGACGAAATAATCACCTAAGCTAGGATCATCAATAACGAATTACGAAATGGAATTTAATGTGATAGAATCCAAAAATGGTAAAAAATCTATATAAATTAAAATTTGTTAAAACTTTTTATTAATTCAATATATAATTTCTAAAAATACAAGAAACTTGGAACCCATTAAATCAGGATCTCGATATAGGAGAAACTTTAATAAATATTTTGAACGAAGTGCGTTCTTTGAAAAAACAATCTGAGAAAAGGGACGAGGAAAATAAACAGCTAATACAAACACTAAAAAGAGAGATGCAACAGCTAAAATCTGAAATAAGGGCACTAAATACAAATGTAGATCCTGAATTCGAGCATTTACCTAAGTTGCCAATAAATACAATGGAGGATTTGAAAGAATTTGACGATAAACTGCCATTAGACGATGAACTGAGAAGTGAATTAGTAAGTTGTAATAACAAAGTAATTTTACGTGATTTTATTAAGAAAAAGCGTTTATAGAAAAAATTTATACAAAGATTCGATGGCAAAGATTATGCAGCATTTTTGAGAACAGGTTTAAGAGCAATATTAACAGATGAGTTGGCGGTAAATTTGACATGGCGTGGAACACAAGAAAAACCCAGTATACAAACGTTTACAGTTTTTGTGCTTTTAAGAGGTTTAGTTAAACATAATTCAAGTAACAATTTCATAAACGGTTAATTTAAATTTGAATTTTTTTGTGTTCAGATATTTGTCAATTGAAATATCCTCATATAAATCAAATGGAAATCAATCGTGTATGCCAACAACATGTTCTACACGCTAAAGATAGAATTTCAAAAAGGAAATCTGCAGTTGAACAACCCACAACACCTACTTTTACTGGCTATAGTCATACCATTAGGCCTATGCCACCTGATCTTCAAGAACCTATTCCCTCGCCACCTTCACCACCAGTCAATTTACCCAGTCTGCCCTTCAAAACTTTGCAAAATTTAGAAGAATTCGATGACCAACTGCTGGAAAATACTAAATTAAAAAAAGTCCTGGTGAGCATTAAGCCTTAACATTTATAAAGCAGATTTGTTTTCATTTTAAAGTATTTCAGAAACAATATGTAAATAAAATCAGTGCCAAGGATTATGCTCATTTTGTGCGTGGCGCCTTTAGAGCAGTAATGACAGATAAGGTAGCAATGGATGTAACTTGGCGCGGTACAAAAGATAAGCAGAGTATTCAAGAATTTACAACTTTTGTGGTTATTAGAGGTATTTATTGCGCTATAAATGTGTGTTCATTTTTAAGTCCCTTTAAAAATTGTATTTTTCAGATGCCTGCCGTGCAAAATTTCCTAAAGTAACTAATTCGGATATTAGTAAAGTTTGTCAACAGTATTTTCTTCATGCTAAAGATAGATTAAAAAAGAAGTCGAGGTTTTCATTACTTGAATAATATAATAATAAAAAAATAAGTACTATAGTTTGATATTTTAATAACAATAAATTGAAAAGAATAAAATTTTGAAGTTTTTATTTCTGTTGCCAAATGGACCAATCATAAAAAATACCAGACTAGACACCAGTCTATTCTGGTCCATGATATATTTAAAATCAAAATCTATTTTTTATTCAAATTGTATTATCTTTGTTTTTCGTTATTTTACAACCTATTTGATATTACAAAGTTGACTACACTGTAAGAGAACCATGCAAATATAGAGAGAAAGATTATTTAAAAGAAAACTGAAACAAAACAGAATAACAATAAACGTTGACGGCACAGTCTGTGTGTCGTTGACGTTTCATGGCAGAGTTACAAAACGTAAACGTTGTTTGTGTGTAGAAAATCCAAAAAAATAAATCGAAACAGAATTTAAAATAAAAAATAATCTCTCGTTGAAATATTTTTCTGTATCTAGTTGATAAAAACTTTCCGTTAATAATATGAAGAGATAATTGTAAGGAAATCAGGGTTGGAAATTTAATTTAATTGTTCGGTTTTCAATTTATATTCAATGTACTTTCTCCTCAATACTGAAAATTTTATAAAGAAACTATTGTTATATAGAATTTTTTGTTAAGCTCAATACTGTTATACGATTTTTATACCCACCATCAAAAAAGATGGGGGGTATATTGATTTTGTCATTCCGTTTGTAACACATCGAAATATTGGTCATAGACCCACAAAAGTATATATATTCTGGGTTCTCTCATGTCTCTCCGTCCGTCCGTCCGTCTGTCTGTTGAAAGCACGATAGAGTGCGAATGGAAAGAGCTAGAGGGTTGAAATTTCACATAAATATTTTTTATAGGTAAGGTTTGTTTGGTATTGAAAATGGGCAATATCGGTCCACGTTTTCGGATAGCCCCCATACAAGTGGCCCCTCGAAAAGCAGCTTTACCAGCCATAACTTGTTTAAAAATACGAATATATGAAATTCGACATAAGTATGTTTCTTGTGATCCAAAATCACTATGCTATGAGGATGGGTCCATAATTGACCCTACCCCCCATATAAGGTCCCCTTCAGAAAATGACTTTAACGTTTATTAGTGGCTTAAAAATACTAGTATATAGATGAAATTCGACATAAGTAAGTTTCATACGAGTCAAAATCTATCTAAAAAATGTTATGTTGATCGGACCATGATTGACCCTACCCCCCATATAAGGTCCCCTTCAGAAAATGACTGCAATGCTCATTAATGGCTTAAAAATACGAGTGTAGCGATGAAATTCGACACAAATAAATTTAATACGAACCAAATTCTGTCTACCAAATTTTATGAGGATCGACCCATAATTGACCCTACACCCCTATATAAGGTCCCCTTCAGAAAATTACTTTAACGTTTATAACTGGCCGAGTATATAGATGAAATTCGACATAAGTAAGTTCCATTCGAGTCAAACGAGGTTTGATGGTAGGTATATAAGATTCGGCATAGCCGAATATAACACTCTTACTTGTTTTTCAAATAAGTTCAGACATTTGAAAAAAATATTTCTACTAAAAAAAACTATAATATTTAATATATGTCTTCTGATAAGAAAATTTTACATATAAAATTTATTAAACGCATAGTTTTATGCAGAAAAAACTGTTATAACAGAATAACTACAAACATATTTACAATTTTCCCATCTCTGTAATGTTTCTTGTTCTGTAATGTTTTTTATCATTTGCATTAAACTCATTCGTTTCAGTTACGCTTTCGATGGTTGTTCGTCATTTGTGTATGCTTTCGTTTATATTGTGGTACGTTGCCGCTTACGTTTCTGTTAATAGTCTACAGAGTTGCCATTGCTTTTTACCCCTTGTGAAATATTTTTATAATTTTTATCAAAATACAGCAGATAGGTATAATTCATACAGCAAATAACTGATCATCAAATAAAACTTGAATATATTATCCATAAAATTCAAAAGTACAAATCTCATTTCAATAAGAAATTTGTAAAAATTTCATTTACATTCCCCATTTAGGAATCATATGCCAAAAATAATTACAACTGGCAACCTTCACTCTCTCTCTTCTGACGTCTCTACGTGTATACGTTTTTCTTTGTTTTTGCCTATTCTCGTTAAAATATCTTTCTTCGTTTTTGGTTTCAGTTCGTTTATCGCCCTGAACGTAAACGGTTTGTTGCCAAACGGTTTGCTGCTGTACATTGGAAATAGTTTAGGACACACAATGAGCAAAGAAAATAATATTAGTGTTAAATTTTTAATACATTTAGTGGGTGAACGTCCCGCTTTGTGGGATAAAACTTCCGAGGAGTATAAAGATCGCGCCTTAAAGGAGACATCATGGCGCGAAATCTGTACGTTTGTCAATGAAAACTACGAACGTATGCAACCGAAAGCAAAACAAGAATTTAGTAAGTTGTTTTTTGTATTTTCTTTTGTTTTGGGTTTAGCAGGGATGGGAATTATTGATAGCAAAATATTTTTAACCCAAAAAGGAGACTATTTTAAAATTGTCTTAATATGTATGTATTGCAATTCATTTCTAGTTCAGTTCTAATTGGGTTCTGTTTACATATGTATGTTCTAGTTAGGTTCCAGTTCTGTTCTTGTTCTAGTTCAGTTCTAGCTCAGTTCTAGTTCAGTTCTAAATCAGTTCTAGTTCAGTTTTAGTTCAGTTCTAGTTCAATTCTAGTTCAGTTCTAGTTCAGTACAAGTTCAATTCTAGTTCAGTTCTAGATCAGTTCTAGTTCAGTTCTAGTTCGTTCTAGTTCAGTTCTAGTTCAGTTCTAGTTCAGTTCTAGTTCAGTTCTAGTTCAGTTCTAGTTCAGTTCTAGTTCAGTTCTAGTTCAGTTCTAGTTCAGTTCTAGTTCAGTTCTAGTTCAGTTCTAGTTCAGTTCTAGTTCAGTTCTAGTTCAGTTCTAGTTCAGTTCTAGTTCAGTTCTAGTTCAGTTCTAGTTCAGTTGTAGTTCAGTTCTAGTTCAGTTCTAGTTCAGTTCTAGTTCAGTTCTAGTTCAGTTCTAGTTCAGTTCTAGTTCGTTCTAGTTCAGTTCTAGTTCAGTTCTAGTTCAGTTCTAGTTCAGTTCTAGTTCAGTTCTAGTTCAGTTCTAGTTCAGTTCTAGTTCAGTTCTAGTTCAGTTCTAGTTCAGTTCTAGTTCAGTTCTAGTTCAGTTCTAGTTCAGTTCTAGTTCAGTTTCTAGTTCAGTTCTAGTTCAGTTCTAGTTCAGTTCTAGTTCAGTTCTAGTTCAGTTCTAGTTCAGTTCTAGTTCAGTTCTAGTTCAGTTCTAGTCAGTTCTAGTTTCAGTTCTAGTTCAGTTCTAGTTCAGTTCTAGTTCAGTTCTAGTCAGTTCTAGTTCAGTTCTAGTTCAGTTCTAGTTCAGTTCTAGTTCAGTTCTAGTTCAGTTCTAGTTTCAGTTCTAGTTCAGTTCTAGTTCAGTTCTAGTTCAGTTCTAGTTCAGTTCTAGTTCAGTTCTAGTTCAGTTCTAGTTCAGTTCTAGTTCAGTTCTAGTTCAGTTCTAGTTCAGTTCTAGTTCAGTTCTAGTTCAGTTCTAGTTCAGTTCTAGTTCAGTTCTAGTTCAGTTCTAGTTCAGTTCTAGTCAGTTCTAGGTTCAGTTTAGTCAGTTCTAGTTTCAGTTCTAGTTCAGTTCTAGTTCAGTTCTAGTTCAGTTCTAGTTCAGTTCTGAGTTCAGTTCTAGTTCAGTTCTAGTTCCGTTCTAGTTCAGTTCTAGTTCAGTTCTAGTTCAGTTCTAGTTCAGTTCTAGTTCAGTTCTAGTTCAGTTCTAGTCAGTTCTAGTTCAGTTTCTAGTTCAGTTCTAGTCAGTTCTAGTTCTAGTCATTTCTAGTTCTAGTTCAGTTCTAGTTCTAGTTCAGTTCTAGTTCAGTTCAGTTCAGTTCTAGTTCAGTTCTAGTTCAGTTCTAGTTCAGTTCTAGTTCAGTTCTAGTTCAGTTCAGTTCAGTTCTAGTTCAGTTGAAGTTCAGTTGTAGTTAAGTTCTAGTTCAGTTCTAGTTCAGTTCTAGTTCAGTTCTAGTTCAGTTCTAGTTCAGTTCTAGTTCAGTTCTAGTTCAGTTCTAGTTCAGTTCTAGTTCAGTTCTAGTTCAGTTCTAGTTCAGTTCTAGTTCAGTTCTAGTTCAGTTCTAGTTCAGTTCTAGTTCAGTTCTAGTTCAGTTCTAGTTCAGTTCTAGTTCATTTCTAGATCAGTTCTAGTTCAGTTCTAGTTCAATTCTAGTTCAGTTCTAGTTCAGTTCTAGTTCAGTTCTAGTTCAGTTCTAGTTCAGTTCTAGTTCAGTTCTAGTTCAGTTGAAGTTCAGTTGTAGTTCAGTTCTAGTTCAGTTCTAGTTCAGTTCTAGTTCAGTTCTAGTTCAGTTCTAGTTCAGTTCTAGTTCAGTTCTAGTTCAGTTCTAGTTCAGTTCTAGTTCAGTTCTAGTTCAGTTCTAGTTCAGTTCTAATTCAGTTCTAATTCTAGTTCAGTTCCAAAATAATTTTTTTTATTTTTCCCTATTCCTTTTTTTCAGCCCGAATGATTACTCGAAAATGGACCCATATACGTGATTCCTGGGTTAAATCGATGAAATATGGTTACGACGAAGAAACCAAATTACCCCCGAAACCCTATATCTATCATAATGAATTGAAATTTATGCAAAAAATTTTGAAATGTAAACCGCCGCGTTATAATCTCAATATGTCACAGTTATCTAACATGCATTTTGAGGAATTCTATCGAAATAAAAATGATAACAATGAAACTAATGAAGCAGTCAATAACGAAGAGGAAGGAGATGAAGATGGCGAAGATTTGAAAACAGGAAATTTGAAACAGGAACATAACCATAGAAATGATAATGAGCAATATGTTGAAAATGAGGCAGATAATGATGATGAGGCGGAAGAAGACGATTGGCCTTTAGATGACACAGAGGTAGACATAGAAATAGAAGAGAAAAAGTTAGATGTAAAACCGTTGAAAAAGACACGAACTAGTATTTTTAAAAGTTCACGCAATGAAGAGGAATATGTTCCTCCGCCGGTGGTGGTATCACGCCCCAC